GAATGATAGCCGCCGCGCGATGCAATTTGTGAGGAGCTATTCCAGCCCGAACTATGCGCTCTGGTGTGTATCTGGAGACTGATTTGCCTTCCCTGCTCCATCCTACTTTCTGCTGAAAGTAGGTGGACAGGTAGGGCAAATCTTACTAATTCAGCGGTTTTGCCCGCTCGCGTGAATCCTGGACTTTTTAGTTCACACGTTTCGGCACGTTCTTGGTGCGATAAGACCGGAAGCTAGCTTCCTCACATATTGCTGCAGTCGGCATCTCCGAGATCGCGTGGTTTCTCTGTTGCATATATGTGTGTGCGAGATCCAAGTTCAAAAAGGCACGGCACGTGACAACTATTCCATGCGATTCACATTTTATCCGGCAGATGGCGTTACCTTAAAAAACCTAAGTCACCAGCAGCCAACTTCAGTTCGGAGTCGTATACTGCAGTTTTACCCACAATCGACCTCCTGTTCTATTTTCCATGCATGAGACGGCGCCCTCATGGATTTTGCGCACCTAAGATCGCAGGCACCGAGCAGCAAAGCATCGACTAATAGGTCAAGAGCATCGTTCTCACGTCATAGCTCACAGCCAAAGCAGAGATGAGTAGGGAGATTGCCAATGGGTCAATATTCTTGAAACCAATTTTATTTTGGAGTAAACGCGCCACCTGAGCGGAGGGCCGTCGCACCATACCCACGTTTTTGATTGGCCGAGTATATCAAGAGACTCGGTCGAGTCTCGCGCCAAGTACAGGCAACCGGCTGTACAGGGCGCAGCGCGCCGAGACTCTTTACTCGAGTCAACTCCTTATACCTGTGTTTGGAACGAAATGTCTTATGAACCGCTATATATGAGGAAAAGTTATTGATACATTCACTATAGGAATTGAAGGACATTCAACCACAGATTTCATAAAAACAAATTAAATGAAAAATATATATTTTAAAGAAAAATTTACTTTGATTTTTGATTTGAACTAAATATGTAACTGATTGTAAGCGTGCAAATGGGGAGGAAATCTTTCCTCATGGTAATCTTTTGGTATCACGTCTATGATTATCACGGTAGAAAGCTTACGAAATTCCTAAATGACTCAACTTCTTTCTAAATGAATTTCATTCTACATTTAAGAATATACTTTCCTTTCAAATTTATATATATTTTTGTGTTTCTAAGAAAAATCAATTTATAAATTACATTTATATGGCTTTTAACATTTTCGACAACGCAATATATTTATCTGATTAGTGACATTGCAATGCATTTATATTTTATATTTGTTTAACAATACAGATTTCAGTGTTTAAAACTTTTTTCATATATCCTATTGAACAACAAAAACTTGTGATATCCCCCAAAAAACACTTACGTGTAAAAAACTACGCCAAGTACAGGATTGCTGTGAATTCCTCTAACAAAAAGTATTGATATCA